TCAACGAATTCGACTTCGTTTCTGTCGGCGAAACTTACCTCAATTTACTTATTTTCCTCCGATGAGAAATTTTCTCGCAAAACATCAACGAGACACTTTGTGTACTACTTTCACTCTCGATGCCCGTGTTGTGTACCTGGTTTTTCGGCCGACGAAAACTCGCTGTAGTCGATACGACAAAACTTCAGCTGTACAGTCTGTCGAGGTTCGTTCGTCCCCGTTTTATCCTCGGCGATCGAAAATCTGTCGAAGCATCGCCGTTCGAGAGCTCGTTCATCGCGCGGAAACGCTTGAAATGCGACATAGCAGAGTTCGCTGGTTGTTCGCTATTGAAACTTGCAGACGTTCTTCATTTTCACGTGTCGACTGCCACGAGCCTGTGTCGTCAATATTAATTCGGTCGGACTGTACCGTGTGTGTCATCGACCGTCGACAGCCCGCCGTTCGAAACCGACAGAATTTCATCTGTCCGAGAGATTCTCAACCGAACGATCGCTCGTAGTACGGGCGACGTTCAATCATGTATACACGGGGAGATTTTTAATCAAATGTACGCGTCATTTCGCATCTGGTGGAAGAGCTGCGTGCTTATCCCGTCAATAGTAAATCAGCTGATTGGTGCACAGATTCGCGGGCAGCGGGAAAGGTACGTACGCTCGTTGAAAAGGTTATGTCAAATGAGAAAATTGATCGCGCGACAAATGCGACATTTCGCCGGGCGAATCGAGTTAACGGTCATTGTTAACGAATTTCGTGGGACGACCTCGTTGTTTCGATGACCGACGTCTGCGTGTGCGTACTGCACGCGTGTACGTACGCATGTAGTCCACACGCCACAAGTTGCGACTCGCGTCTATTCGAACGAGCCGGACGGGGGGCGGGAGGGGAGGGGTGGTCAATAATTTTCAAAGGCAACTGACGTTCAACGTAGGCTTCGCTCGGGTCTGCTCGCCCATCTTCGCCGGAATTGTATTGACCCACGAGTCTTGCTTCGGCGCGCGATTCGCGCCTTGGGTAGACATGTTGGATGCACGCTATTTTGGCGCGAATGTTTCACGAGTATAAACTACTTTTTTCCTCTTTTCCATGTCCGATATATTTTGTCTCGCGCACGAAATTGAATCTTTGCG